GCCCCTAGAGGACAGAGTGGAACTGCCCACAGGGTCTCCAAGGCTGTCAATCTTCACAGAAGCAAAGCCCAAACCACACCCACTGCCTGGAGTCCGTTCTGACCCACAGCGCCCCTAGAGGACAGAGTGGAACTGCCCACAGGGTCTCCAAGGCTGTCAATCTTCACGGAAGCAGACTATCTCATCTTTCTCCCTGAGAAACTGAGCAGTTGGTGAGTTTGAACCATGGACTTTTTGGTGCACGGCTCCATTCACATGACAGGTCCAAAATAGACAAATACATAGCAACAGAAAGCCGATTAGTGGTTGTCAGGGTTTGGGAGCTAAGGAGAAATGGGGAATGACTACTCACAGGTATGATGGAAATATTCTAAACTTGTGGTGTTGGTTGCACAACTGTGAACACACTAAGAACCACCTGAACGCACCCTTTAAATGGGTGAAGCGTGTGGATTTTCTCTCAACAGAGGTACAAGTGAAACAAAGCAAACAGCGGCCAGGAGGGCCTGACTGCCACAGCAGGACAAGGAAAGGGATCAAAGGGCCATGCAGCCTCCAAGGGCAGCAGTCTGCAGAGGCCGCTGACTCCCTAGAGACGGGAAGGGGTGACAGTGGCAGGGACAGTGGCAGGGGCACTGGGGAAGCGCCCTGAGGGCCCACCCGTCCTCACTCCTGGGAGGATGGCATTTCCGGGACCAAGTCCTGGGCCGGGAGCCCAGGTGGCGCACCTGTAGCAGTGGCCAGGCTCTGTGCGGCCGGCCCGGCCTGCTCGCTGATCGGCTGACGCCTGGGAGATCCAGGTGACACGGAAGGAGGACACGCTGGTGACACGGTCGTAGTAACGCTTCTTGACCTTCCCACAGTCCACCACGTACTTGATGCCGGGGATGGTGAGGGACGTCTCAGCCACATTGGTGGCCACAACACACAGCCGCGTCCCCTCCGGGGGAGGTTTGAAGACCTGGCAGTGGGGAAGGGGGGCAGGAAGACATCAGAATTAGGAGAATCCATGGGAGGGAGGTGGTAGTGGTCAGGGGGCCCAGAGAGAGGTCAGCCAGCTGGGTGAGGCCTGGGGGTCACAGGCCAACAAGTCTCCGAGTGTCCTTGGCCACAGTGTCCCGAGCGTAAATACAAGGGGAGCTTTCTAGTCGCCAAGGAGAGGTTGTCAGCACACTGAGAACCTGAGTTCAAATCTCAAAAAGCACATTGCCTATGGGCACTCCCAAGAATAGCTCCCACAGTGCACGGCGGGGTGACAAGTCAGCCCGAGTCCGGAACAAGCACGTACGTGGCGGGGTGAAGACCCAGCCTGAGGTCACGACAGACACGTACGTGGTGGGGTGAAGAGTCACCCCGAGTCTGGGGCAGGCACATGACACACAGGGGAGCGTGTGTGCGGGGCACATGCCCGCCCAGCAGCTGAGCCCCGTGCTGTTGGGGGGACTTGGGCCCATTTCTGACAAGCAAACAAGATCCAGAGCTGGGTGGCTCATCTCCTGACTTCAAATGTTAGCAATGGATCCAGTTAAAAAAGCACTTTGCATGTCAAACAGAAACTCCGGTTAGCTGGAACTCAGCCAAGGTCAGTGTCACAGAGTGCCTCTGCTTAACGGGCACTTCAGATGAGTGCTGGATGGGCATTTACAGATGCCCTTGTTTTCCGCCACCTCGCTTTATTGAGCTCTGGATATAACTGTGTTTACAAACGGAAGGTTCGTGGCAACCCTGGGCTGAGCAACTTCATCAGCACCATTTTCCCGACAGCACGTGCTCACTTCCTGTCTCTGGTTCATTTTGGTCATTGTGTTATAGTAAATTACTTTGTGTGGCTTTTTTACCCATAAGTCTTTGTAAACTCCAAAGTGGGATTTGCTATGAGCAACTGAGGAGCTCCTGATTGCTGAAGTTGTCCACCTGGAGTATTTCTGTTGGGAGTGGCACAAAACAGTGTTCTGGGAGGTGCCCACTCTCTCTCAGGTGCTTAGAGTTCTGATGCTATGATTGGCTAGTTTGACCACCCTGCCGGGCTCAAAAGGAGGCCTCTTAAGAGGCAGAAGGCTCTCTGACTGCTGGTTGAGGAAGATGTGCTGCCAAAAGAGACACGCACTCCTGAAGGAAACACGCGTTGCTGGGAAAGAGACGCGAGAGACATGCATTGCTGAGTGAGACACCAAGGGACCAGCACTGCTGGGAAAGAGACTGTGAGAGACTGTTGGCTGAGGGACGGTGGGCTGGAAGAGAGACTGAGCATTTTTCCTGAACTCAAATTGTAGCTTGGTGCTTCCCTATAAACCTCGTAATCTGTGAGTTGTGTGTGGCCACTGCAGCGAATTATCGAACCCAGGAGAGAGGTGGTGGGTGCTCTGGGAGGAACGGTTGGAGAAAGGGCTGTAGGAAGGCAGCATGTCTGGCCTTGCAGTAATAGGCCTTGGGTTACTGCTGGTAACCCTGTCTTCCTCTTGTGGGATTAGAGGAGGTCAGAACATGTAGCCTCCTCATCGTTTTTGTAGTCATTCTCACAATATTTCAAGCTTTTTCATCACGGTAGTGCACACTTCACAGACTACGGTCTCGTGTCAACATAACTTACATGCACTGGGAAACCAAAGAATTCATGGGACTCGCCGTATGGCTACGTGTGCCTCGTAGCTGGGGTCTAGAACCCAGCTTGCGCTGTCTCCAAGGTGGACGTGGACTCACGAGTCCACAAGACTCGGTGACAACTCGGTGACTTCTGCAGGAAACAGAGGGGCTTTTCCTCTGCTCTATAATCTGTCTGCATGTTTTATGACAAGCTTTGAGACCAGAAAAAAATAAACTGAAGTGCGTAGAAACTCTAGGGAACCCAAATCAAATGTTGCCAAGGCAGTAAAAGACGACATGAGGACAGGAACGCGCGCGGCTGCGTTCCGGGCTCTGCCGTCCACCTCAAGGGCGTGCAAACTGAGGAGCAGCGGGCTGACATAATGCGCCTGAAGGCACATGGCTATTGGAGGCAGAGCTCGGGGTCTGGCTCCAGAGTCCCCGCGCCTCACCATCCCACGGTCCTGCCCCCACCAAGGCATATGGGGGTACAGGTCAAAGAGTCGAAGGGAGACGGCCAGGCTTGACGTGGCTCCTGTCACACCCTGAGCACCGCCCACGCCCAGCCGGTCACCTGTGCTTGTTTCTCGGGGGCCAGCAGCGAGTAGAGGGGGAGCACGTGGAGCGGGAGGGAGGGGTCCGGCTGCTCACCTGGAAGGGAAGCACAGGCTTGCTGGGCACTGCCCGCCAGGGCAGACCTGAGGCAGGAGCGCCTCAGGCCACCTGCACTCCCACCCTGCTCTGCAGAGGCCCCTGGATCAACCCCCTCCCAGGGACCCACCCCTCGGGACTGGCCCAGCAGCTAGACAAGGCCTCAGGGGACAACTGACTGCTGAGAGGCTGGGACGTTCTCCCCGCCCATGGCTCTGCCGTGACACCCACGCCGCACACCGTGTGCCCCAGAATCCCGACACACACCCCTGCAGCTCGGCCTGGGGCTCACCTCGCCCCATATCCTGGCGGCACCGTGGTGGCTGCAGGCAGAGTGCGCTCTGGGCACACGCACCTCTGTGTATGCGGTGGGGCTGTGGAGCCCAGGACGGCGCCTGCTGAGCGCGGGGCGGTGCCGCCCTCAGGCAGGGCAGGTCACCGGGCCCTCAAAGAGCACAGGGCCCCAGTGAGCCCCCCGGGGGGCAGCCCACCCAGCTGCCCAGGGCCCGTGTTATCCCAGCCAAGGGAGCCCTGGGCAGTGGCCTCGTCCCAAACAACAGATACAGGAGGGCTGACCCAGCACCCGCACGTCCTGAACCGACAGTTCACGTGCTGGGCTGTTACTCAAGGTTTGAATCCACACAGGCGCCTCGGAGAAAGGCCCGACAACGCACTTTCCAAGAATCAGCCACCGGGGCACAGCTGGGTGCTGACGCCGTGGAGGCGCCACGAGTCACAGCTGACGCCGGATGCCGGCAGTTTTAGGAGCCTGGGGAGCCCCAGGTGACAGAAAGGCCCCCACTCTGGGGCTCGCCTGCTCGTGAGGACGCAGGCGCTCCCCGACTGGCTCACGCGCTCTGAGAGGCAGGGTGCTCGGTCCACCTTCATCACGGCTGTCTCCCGGGGCCCTCGGCAAACACTTGCCGGTGAACGACACGAGTGGCCAGAGGACAGGAGGCTGTGCCGAGGTCTCACCTTCACCTGCCACCTCGTCCCCCAAGTCGAGATCCAGGTCGGAGCCCAGGGCCTCCTCCTCGTCGTCCATCTCCGCCTCCCTGTCCTCGTCACCTTCGCCCGCTGGCAACACCGAGTAGCTATCCAGGCTGATCTGGGGCAACATCTACGGCGGAAAAAGTCACCAATGCCGCAGGCTGCAGGTGACCCTGGCTGGCAACAGCAGGGCAAAACCAAAGCCCCTTAAGCAGAAAGCCCAGCTCTACCTCCCACACGCCCTCGGGAGGGTCATGAACTTCACGCTGCCTTGCTTTCCTCATCTACAAATCGGGGACAACCACAGAAGCCTTCTCCAGGGCGGGATTCTGATGGTGCACCCGTGGAAGGGATTCCGGGCACTGCCTGGCAGCGCAGTGCCGAGGGACGGTTCAGGAGGCCTGGGTGGTGCGGCCGCGCCTGACTACCAGCCAAAGGTGTGGTGGTTCAAGCCCACTAGGGCACCCCAGAAGACAGGCCGGGTCACCTGCTTCTGAAAACCCGACGGAGGACAGTTCTGCTCGGCCCCAAGGCGTCACCATGACTCAGAATCAACCTGATGACAACTGACCACAGGAGGGTTAGTGAGTTCCTAAGTAACTTCCACGTTGTCAGTGGATCCATGATAATACCACTCACAGACGTCCTGGAGTGTGGACGCCCCTCACAGCCCATCCAGCTCCTTCTCCTTCCAGGAAGGTCTGGCCCACCTCCCACACTTCCATTTCAAGCACCAAGGGGTCCCTGGCTCTGCCTGCCCTCCCAGAGGAGCCTCCCAGGTCCTGCTCAAGCAACCAGGGCTCAGCCTTCTGGACGCTTCCTCCTGGCCCACAGCACAGGGAACCTTGAGTGTGTTTCAAATCACAGCCCACCCTGCAGCCTCAAGAGCCTCATGGCCCAACAGAGCTCTCTGCTATCCAGTGCGGCGGCCACCAGCCTCTTGTGGCCATGGAGCACGCCATGTGCCCAGTACAACTGAGGAGGTGAAGTTTCAATTTTACTTCATGTTTTTTTAGCAGCTCTGGTGATGTAGTGGTTAAAGCATTGGGCTGCTAACCGAAAGGTCAGTGGTTCAAATCCACCAGCCGCCCTGCCAGAGGAAAGACAAGGCAGACTCCTTCCGTCAAGAATGACAGCCTTAGAAACCCCCCAGGGGGGGCGGTTCCGCTCTGCACTGTTACTATTAGGTCTCTGTGAGTTGGAATCGACTCGATGGCAGTGGGTTTGGTTTTGTTTTTAAGTAACATTTTATTTTTATGATTTTTAAAATTGTGATTTGGGTGAAGAGTTGACAGAGCAAGTTGGTTTTCCATTTAACAATTCATAGTTTGTTTTGTGACATTCGTTGTAACCACTCAACCTAACAGCACTCTTCCCACTTCCTTCCTGTGGTTACTGCCCCCGTGTCCTTCCTTTCCACCCCTTCCTGCCCTGAGCTTCATCCCTGGGCCAGCGCTGCCCCTTGGATCACGTGCGGCTGGTGCTCTAATGTGCGCATCTTCCCGGTGTTACTGTTCGCCTTACAGCCCCGCCCCTTGTTTGGCTGCAGGTTGAGCCAGGCGGTGAGTCCAGTTCTCAGCTCAGAGGGTGTCTAAGGGCTATAGTCTCAGGGGTTCCACAGTTTCAGCTAAATTGTTTTAAGTTTTACTTTTAAACATAATCTCATTGTGGTGAGATACAAGTAATTTTAAAGGGTGGCCATCGTAACCATTCCCAGGTGCACAGCTCCGCAGTACTCTCACTCCCCGTGGTGTGGCCACCAGCAGCCGTTCCAAAGCTCTGCACGCCCCCAGAAACCCTGTGTCCCTCAGCAACTCCTCCCCCACCCTTTCCCGTGGGAAACTCTAAGCTACTTGCTGTCTGTCTGCTCTAGGAATTTCTAATTTTATTCCATTTTAACTAGTTTATAACTAAACCTATAGCTACATGTGGGTACTGAGTACCTGGAACGTGTCCAACGTGGATGACAAAATCAACTTAAAGTCTGCTCAATTTTACTTAAACAACGCAACAGCCTCACAGGGCCAGCAGACACTGGATGGTAACACCCCGGAGCCCCGAGCTGCTCTGCAAACCCTCGACCTACCGCAGACAGTGCCTTCTTTGCCCTCGTCCGTGACTTCTTAAACTTCCGCATTTCTCCCACCGAATCTTGCTGATCTTCCTTTTCTGGGAAAATGTGCAGATGAGGGAGGAAAACATCTTGAGGCCACAGCCAGGCTACTGGGACTCTGCCCGTCCTTGTCTACCGCGAAGGCCCTGCAGTGATGACCATTCATTCTGGGGACCGGGGCAGGGGAAAGGCTGTCGCAAACAGAGACAAGGGAGACGCCCGGGCTGCCGGCTGACAACCGCCCGGCCTGCTGCTCAGGTCTGAGGGCTCTGCCAGGGGTGGAGCCGCCAGGCGTACCTCGCGGCCTGCGTCTGGTGCGGGGAAAGGCCCTCTGAAGCCTGCGGCACAGCGCGTGCACCTCTGCTTGTCCTGTTAGGAACACCAGGATGCCACCTGCAGGACAAGGCGCCCTGTGACTCCTCTCACACCGCCAACGGTGACCAAGCAGCAACCCCCGCCAAGACACGCTCTGAGAGCAAAGCCCCCGGACAGCAGGACGGCAGAGCGCTGTGGTGGGCGGGTGAGCGGTGATCATCACGGGGTGTCTGAGGAGTTGTGCAGAAGGGGTGGGAGCTAGCCAAGGAGGGGCTGGCCCCGCGAAGGGCTGGGGTGGAGGGCGGGGTGCTCCGACCAGGGGACAGCACGTGCAAGGCCCGGCCGTGAAGCGAAGCAATAGCATCCCGGGACGCTGACAGCGGCAGCGGGAAGGGCCAGACAGGAAGCTCAGGGCGGCGACTTCCTGTGAGTGGGAAAGAACTCGGGAAAGGAGCGTGAGATGGTTGCACAACTCGAAGAACGTGAGCAGAGCCGCTGCTCTGCGTACACTGAAACTGATGGGTCAGCGTACGCTCCACTGTGTGTCTGCAATGACGGCAAAGGCAAAGTCAATTATTTTCTAAAAAAGGACACCTGGTGTGGGGGGTACTGAGAAGAGAACATGGGGTGGGCAGTAAACAAGGGTCTCTGTGGAGAATGGAGGGCAGGAAGGTGAGGGACGAGGAGATGGGAGAAGCGGCCAGAGCCTCAAGGAGAAGTCGAGCCTTCATCTCTGGGACGTGGCACATTACCAGGACTGTAAGCAGGAGGGTCACTCTGGTGGAGGTGGCAAAAGTCAAAGGGCAAGTGGTCATCCCTGAGCCAGGGATGCTCGAGGACTGCAAGCTACAACCACGGCACGGAGGCAACCGCACTGGATTGGAAAGCCAGCTAGCCAGGGCTCAGCAAACCACAACCCGAGGGCCAGACCTCACTGCCAACCGTTTGCACAAATAAGGTTTTACTGCAGTACAGCCATATCCATTCAATGACTTACTGTCACTCCTAGGTGACAATAAGTAACTGGCAGTGTGGAGTATAACCGAGACTATGGCGTGCACTGGAATGTTTGTCTGGTCCTTTCCAGGAAGTTTGCCCACCTCTGCCCTAGAGCCACCCGTGGAAAGGGCAGAACCTAAGGAGAGTGGGAGGAGGCAGCAGAAGAGAAGAAGCCCACGACACGGGAGAAAGGAGGCCAGAGAGGCGGGAAGGACTCCGGCAGAGGAGGAAGGTGGGGGGGACGGAGGGCCGGCGCCTCAGACAGCGCTGAAAGGCCAAATGCACAGACATGACGGTGACCTCACGGAGGTAGTGTCAGTGGCGCACAGAGGCCTTGCTGTCAATGACAAGGACGGGGCAGCAGCTGTGGGCCAAGGGAGGTTCCTCCAAAGACAAGATTTGCAAACTTTTCATGTGATAGGAGCCTTGGTCATGCAATGGTTAAATATTTGGCTACTGACTGAAAGGTCAGAGGTTTGAACCCACCAGTGGCTCTGTGGGAGAAAAAACCTGCCATCTGCTCCTGTAGAGATTAAACCAAGAAAACCAAACCCACCACCGTCGAATCCATTTCAACTCACAGCAACCCCCGCTGGGTTTCCAAGGTGGTAAGTCTTTACACAAGCAGATTGTCCCATCTTCTTTCCGAGGAGTGGCTGGTGGGCTTGAACCATCAACCTTCTGGTTAGCAGGCAAATGTCTTAGGCACTGCGCCACAGAGCCAAAGATTACAGCCTAGAAAACCCTGTGGGACAGTTCTACTCTGTCCCCTAGCGTCGCCAGGAGGCAGAATCAACTCCATGGCAGGGGGTTTTTGGTGTCCTGTGGATTACTCTGCTTATCTGCCATGGACAGAGGGAAACTCCCCCACAGCCAACCACAGAAGCCTCACAGTAATTCCAGTAGGAGGCAGGCCAGTGTGGTGAACGCTGTGGAATCTGTGGGGAAACTGAGGCAAAGCGAGGACAAGTGCCTTTTCCGAGGCGCTCAGAGGCAGTGCGTGAGCCTGGGCGGCAGTTCCCTGCCTGCAGCCTGACCTTGTCCCTTGGGAGGGGAAAGGCGACTTGACTGCTCACCTGGCCAGGGCCTCACCTGCAGGCAGCATCCGGTGGATCTTGCAGACTTTCCGGAAGCATTCGCCGGTGTAGTCTTCCAGCGGTGTCCGCTTGTTAAAATGCACCGTCACTGGGAACTGTCTGGATTCAACCTAGGACAGGTGCCCGAGAGCCATGGGAGCAGGTAGGAGGGGACAAAAGGGGTCTTGTTACCAGTGTCAGCACCGACGGTCCCCCTTTTCCTCAAGGACGGTCTCTCAGTTTGGTGCTAATGTGTCTCTGATGCCCAACACTTTCCTGCTTCCCATGTGACGAAACTATCAAGGGGTCCTCGCTCTCTCGCAGCCGACAGGGCCACGCTTTAGCGGCTGCCGGGGCTCTGGCCTGAGCCTCACCTTGATGACTGGGGGCGGCCTGGTGAAGAGCCGCTGGTTCTGGGTGAAGTCTTCCACCCGCAGTGTGGCCGACATGATGAGCAGCTTCAGCGGCAGGTGTTTCTGTGGACGGCAAAGGCTCAGTGACCTACAGTCACCCAGCGGCCCAGCTGGTTCTGGAGGAAAACTAGGGTGGGGAGGGGGGCAGGTGCTTCTCCTGCCCTCCTGGGATCCCTTAAACCACCAGTTGGTCCCATGTCTGGTTACCAAAGACCCCTTGGAAAAGGTGAGTCGATAGCAGGATTTGCCTCCTCCAGGGTGGTGGCTTGTAAAAGGAGTGAAGCTCTAGTGGTGAACGTGAGGCAAGAGGGCTGAGAGCAGGGTCCACTCGATCCAAAGTGGTCACGGCTGCTGCTGGCTCCCACCCGACCCCTCTCCCCTCATCCTGGCAGTCTGTCTGCCCCTGAGGTTCAAGCAGGAGCTGCCCGCATTCTCTGGGTGGGGTGGCTTCCCAGCTCCCTTGGCAGCACCTGATGGCCTCAACAGGTGTTCGTGGTGGTCCCTGCTCCCAAGCCCATGGAAGCACCTATCTTACTGTTAGTGAACCCCAGACCCAAGAGCTACAGTATGGTCAGTGTCTTTGGTGAAAACAAAGCCAAGGTCAGAGGCACAGCACAGACCCAGGGCCCCCACCACGCTCCCCGTAACGGCTCCCCAATTTGCACCCATCCCGTGTACCTCTCCGACCCATCTCCTAGTTCTCTCCACCTCCCTCCCTCCGTGCCAGTCACCGTGGGCTCTGTAATAGTCCTCACGTGACACCAGACACACATCAAAACCACAGTGAGACACCATTTCACCCCAACTAGAATGGCTAGAATCAAAAAGGCAGTTCAAGGGGAACCTGAATTGTACAGACTTTTATGAAAACACAATAAAATATTGTTTAGAAAGAAAAGAGATACCACGTGGACTCCTGCCTCAGGGCCTTGACACCTGCTGCTTCTGCTACCTGGGACATTCTTCCTGGCTGTGCCCCCTGCTAGCTCCCTCCTCTGTGAGATCCGCCCTCACCACACAGCCCTCCACCTTCTCCCTCCTCTCTCCCTCCCCTCCCGGCTCGGCCCACCACCGGCTCATGGATCTCGGGGTCTGCTTACTGCCTGCCGCCCTCAGTAAACGGGCAGGTTCACGAGAGCAGGGACCGTTTGTCTTGACCACTGGTGTCATCTCCAGGACCCTGAACAGGTCCCGGCACCCAGCTGGCACTCAGAGGACAGCTGTCTAATGAATGTTCCATAGGCTCCTAGCCTGGGCCTCTTGTTTTGAACGGAGAAGAGGACACCGAGTTTATGGGACTGGACCCAGGGGCCCAGAGGGGGGAAGCGGGCAGAATCGCAGGGCTGTTTCCATCACAAGCTTCAGTCTTGGCACTGGGGGCCCTACGTCTTGGGGGAACCCTCACGGCAGCACCCTGGGGGCACACGTGTGTGGGCCAAGCAAGGCCAGGCTCCTGACAGCAGGGGGCGTCCAGGCTGGGGGCCGGGAGCAGCCCTGCCACCCGCCCGAGTCACCTTGGCACGGAGGGCCACGATGCGGGACAGGAGGCCGATGAGGATGTCGGTGTACACGCTCCTCTCGTGAGCCTCGTCGATGACCACCACCTTGTACTTCCGCAGCAAGAAGTCCTGGGGAGGAGTCAGGGGTCACTGCTTGGTAGTGCCCCCCAGTGAGCTCGGTCCTGAACCTTCCACCTCAGGAGTCCCCTTGATGCCACTCGGCCAGGGGTGAGGAGTCCTGCCCCTGTGACGGGTGAGTCTACTACCTTGTGCCTCAGGCTCTTCTGTGGAACGGGATGAGCCCTCACCTCAACCCAACATGGTGAGAACCTGGTGACAGCTGACACTTGTGAAGTGCTCAGGACTTGGCGGGGGGCCTACCGAACAGGGAGTTCCTGAGGGTGCCCTACCAGGTGCGGGTGTCTGGGGCACAGGGAAGGGGAGGAGCGGGAGTGGAACGTGGCGTGGCGGCCCAGGCAGACGGACAGAACACACCTCACAGAAAGTGCATCTAGACCCCAAATCGTGCTGCCAGGCCCCTCCCGGCCCTTCAGGCAAAGGCCGCAGGAGTGCCCACTGCCCAGGCTTACCCCGCAGGGACGTCACCCAGCAGGAGGAGCTGCCCTCAGTGCAGAGACTCTCAGCCCAAGCCCTGTGTGCTCTTGGGGGATGTGGGGCCAATGGGCTGAGGCTCCAGAACGTTCCAACTCCCTAGGCACCTCCCTGTGGCCAGAGCACTGAAGGGGCAGCACCTGAGGGTGCTGTTTCATGTCGTGAATGCCCTCCGAACCCAGGGCTCCAGGGCTGGGAAATGTACCAACACCCCACTGATCCCCTGGGGCCCGGAGGGGGGCTGGGCATCCATCCCGGCCCTGGGCTGCCTCGGCAGCAGGCACCGCACCACATTCCTGAGATCAGGAAGTCCCCGGGCAGAGTCACCCCGTATCTCGGCCCACCACTCCGTCCAGCACGGGACGCAGCGTCTGCATGAGAGGCAGAGTCTGCACGGCCTGTGTAGGCGTGTGCACTGAGTGGACAGACAGACCGAAAACCAGGTCATGACACAAATAGGAACTCCAGCATAACAAGCTAGGACCGGGAGCTGTGCAAAGCTGCCCTGAAGCATCACAATTTCTGCTTCCAAAGAATTCTAGGAGGAAGTCCAGCTTACAGATCAAGAAACAGAGGCCCAGAGAGGCCAAGACACTTGCCCAAGGTCACACAGGGGCACACTGGCCACTCACATCAGGGGTGATCTCCCTCCCTATCCCCACGCTCAGTGGTTCTGGAACCCTAATGGGCAACCAACCTTCTGGATTTCTTTTAGCAGCACGCCATCCGTCATGAACTTGATCCTGGTCTCTTCAGTCACATTGCCTTCGTACCGGATCTGGTAGGAGACGACGCTGTGTGGACAGGCTGTGGCTCAGGGCATGCAGTTCCCCAGAGCAGGGGCCCCACGTAGCTCTGTGACCACTCCAGTGGGTACAAGAGTAATCCTGCTCACACTGGGCAGGCAGGGCCGTGAGCAGGCCCACCCAGCTCCCCAGTGAGGCCCGGCAGCGCCTGTCCTCTCTCCCTCACCAAAGCCCCGGTCTCCAGCATGAAGGGGAAGGGAGCCACTTAGGTGGCAAAAGACTTATGAGTAGGTCACCCAAACTTGAGTGTGGACCCTGGTTACAGCCGGGTCTGAGGCAACTGGCAAAACTGAAGATGGACTATGACCATCCAGGAGCTGTTGTCAAGTCCCTGATGGCGGGGACACAGGGGTCCTAGCTGGGCATTCGAGGCCCCAGGGATGCCTTGGAAGAAAGGGCTGGTGACCCACTTCCAGAGCCAGCCGCTGAAAACCCCAGGGCATGTAGCTCTGCTCGGCACACCGCAGGGGCGCCGTGAGCTGGAATCGACCGGGTGGCGTTTGCTTGTATTAGTTACGAGATTTCCTGAGCTTGGCTGCCTGCCACTCAGCACTGCCCTCTAGCTCGCAGGGCCAGGGCCGTTCCGCCTGATTCCTGCCCTCTTCTGCTGTGAGCCTGCGGGGTGGCTGGCCCCAGGCTGGCCCTGCACAAGAGCGCCTGCAGGAAGGCCCTTGTACAAGGAGACCCCCAGCCGGGCTGAGATGCAGCACTTCCCCCAGGGCTCTCTACATGGCCCAGGGCCTGCAGTACTGCCCACCTCCGAAATCCTGGACGGTGGGAGAACGATGTGAAGCAAAACTCAAAATCATAAAAATAGACCAGGTTTACTGGTCTGACAGAGCCTGGTGAGAGCACCTGGACTATGGCCCCTAGTTGCCCTTCAGGTCTGGAACCGAACTCACTCCTAGGTCTTCCAGCCCAACAACAGGCAGGCATATGGGGTGAACACTTACATCAGGTAGCTACACACCTTAGAGCGATAATCATGGGAGGACAGAAGGGCAGTGTTTGCACAGGGAGATAGATCCGGGGGCAGGAATGCATAGGAAAGAAGGACACAGGGAAGAGGTAACTACAGGGAGGAAGTGGGAGGAGAGCTGTTAGACTGTGGAGGATTACAGTCACTGTCATGAAACAAAATGTACATAAACTGCTGCGTGGAAAATGAATTTGCTCTATAAACTTTTACCCAAATCACAATGAAAATTTAAAAAGAAAAAAAAAAAAGGTAAATCGTATATGCCAATCAGAAAAATAAATACTGCCCACCTCCGTGCCGTGCCAGGGCAAAGGCACAGGACCACCCCACCCACCCCAGAGGAAGGAGCCCTTACCGCTGTGACAAGTTCATCTCCTTGGCTACTCGCTGGGACATGGTCATGGCAGCCACTCGGCGTGGCTCTGTGACCCCAATGATGCTGTCATCACTGGGGGAGAGAGAAAAAATCACTGGGTCAGTACTGCCCAATCCACAGCGTCTGTCCCCAGGCACACACAGGTCCACGTTGGAAGGTACCCAGCAGACTCCCACTCTCCCAGGGACACGGTGGCTTCCACTCCAGGTGGGGGATGGAGCTGCCTACATGTCAGCATGGGAGACGGGAGAGGGTCAGATGGACTCTCAGGAGAGTTCAGCAGTCACGATTCAACAGAGCACGGGCTGCCGCCACAGACAAGGCCGGGGGCAGTGTGGCCAGACCTAGCCGAGCACAGGACATCAGGACCCACCAAAGGGGATGGCCTGCTGGGGTCCAGACGGCAGGAGCTAGCAAGGCAGCTCTGAGACTGCTATCCTTAGAAAGATGGGCCTGCAAGGAACTTGGGTTTCAGGAGAGTTGCCTGGTGACACACTGGTTAAGCACTTGGCTGCCATCCAGAAGTCGGTGGTTCGAATCCTCCAGCAGCTCCGCGGGAGAGACAGTCTGCTTCCGTAAAGACTGACGGCTTTAGAAACCTTCTGGGGCAGTTCCACTCTGTCCTCTAGGGGCACTGTGGGTTAGAATCGACTCCGCAGCAGATTTTGTTTTTCCCCACCGTCCGGAGAAGGGTGGGCTCATTATGCCTAGACTCTCTGTACCAATTGGGTGGTTTCCAGTGAACATAAGATACTCAAAAAAATCAAACTCACTGCCATCTAGTCGATTCTGACTCATAGTGACCCCTTCTGGGTTTCTGAGGCAGTAAGTCTTTACGGAAGTAGATTGCCCAGTCTTTCTTCTGCAGAGTGCCTGGTGGGTTTAAAGCACCAGCGTTCTGGTTAACAGTCAAATGCCTTAAGCACTATGCCACCAGAGCTGCTTAATGCACGGAAAGGGCTTACAATAAACCTTAATACAAGTGCTAATACCACAGGTGCTAGTTGCCACATGCCTCCGTGCGGCGAATGGCCCGCCCTGTCAGCACCTGTTAAGTGCTTGCTGACTGCCGGAATGAATGAATGGACTTTTGGAATCGACTCCATAGGGAGAGCACTCTCGAAGCATGGCTTGGCTTCCCCGGACTTCACCCACGGGCCTGCTCTCTGCCGATTCTGCTTTGTGGCCTTTCACTGTAATAAACAGCGTGAAGACAACTACACGGTAAGTCCCAATAAATCACTGATCCTGGGAGTGGTCATAGGACCCTCGACCCAGGGGCCAGATGTGCCAATAGGAGGTGACAGGGTGGCACCCGTCAACACGCCGCGCTCAGTGCCAGGTGCTGCTCTAAGCATGTTACATGAATTCTTTCAGTCAATCCATCAAGTAGATGGTATTATGAAGCCCATTTTACAGCTAAGGACACTGAGGCACAGAGAGCTTAAGTAGCTTGTCTCAGACCACACAGCACGTAAACAGCAGAGCCAGGATATGATCCCAGAGTGCATGGTTTTAATGACTTTGAGGGATCTCTCTCTACTATCACCCAAGAAGACCTGAGTCCCTCCCCCCAAACTGGGAGGATTCCCCAGAACCCTGGGCCAGGCCCTACCTACTGTAGCCAGCTTCGTAGAGAAACTGGGGCACCTGCGTGGTCTTGCCACTGCCGGTCTCGCCACACACGATGACGATGGGGTTCTCGGCCACGGCCTCCATGATCACTTGCTCCTCCGCGAGAATTGGAAGCTTCAGCCGGGCTTCCTGGAGGCAGAGAAGCCAGGGGTCAGGGCCCCGGGGGAGGGGCCCCTGCAGGACGGTAGGAATCCCAGGGGTCGCCCTCAAACAAAGGCTGCACAGAGCGATGGCCACAACGTCACCGAAAACTCACACCCACTCTGAGATGACACAGCCCAGGGCTGCTCTGCTGACCAGGGGCCGTGTGCTTTACACCCCCGATCCTTCTACGCCGCGACACCCCAGGGAGAGTCTCACTTTACCAGGTGAGGAAATGGGGGCAGGGGCAGTGAAGCATGTCACAGAGACTGATGACCCTCCATTAGACAGATGCAGACAAGAAGGGTCAGGAAGGGAGCTATGACGTGGTAGAACCCGACTTCCAGTTGCTGAGTCCGAGGCCCAGACACTTCCCCAGAGGAGGCCTGGCCAGGAGCACGCTCAGGAGTGGTGGTGGTGACAACGACGTAACAAGCTGGCACCGCCATCAGCAGCCCTCACAGCGGGCCCAGCTCATTCTAAGACATTCTCTTAGCGTGTTCATTCACGCTTCTTGAAGTCACCAGCCTCCACGCCTACTACGCCACTCCCGCAGTGAAATCCACTGCAGCTAAAGCTGTGAAACCTGAAGTTGGGGAAGGCAGAGACCTGCCAGAGAGTGAGGCTCACATACTGAACTGAAGAGAGAGGCAAAGAACTGTGGCCACCGCACCATCAAAGGCAGAAAACCTGCAAGACCTGCAAGACGGAGGCAGTCCCACTGAGTTCCGGTTCTGGCAGGTTTCACAGTACAGTCTGACAGGTCTGCAGTACAAGGAGGCAGCCCACAGCTGTCAGGGAGGCTCTGACCCACAGTGACCCTGAAGGACAGAGTAGAACTTCCCGTAGGGTTTCCTAGGCTGTAAATCTAAGCAGGCTGCCACACCTCTCTCCTGTGGAGCAGCTGGTAAGTTTGAACCGTCAACCTTTTAGCTAGCAGCCCAATGCTTTCATGCTATGCTAACCAGAGCTCTGCACAAGGAGGCAGGTACGATTACTCTCCCTCTGTCCAGATGAGGACAGAGAGGCACAAGGAGGGGTTGTCACTCGTTCCAAACCAACAGGCTGCAGCTCTCTACACCCTCAGTCCCTCCCTCACGGGCAGCTCAAACTTTACTCACACGCACTGAAGCCACGAACCTGCATCTCGGGGGAGCGGCTCACAGGGACGAAGACAGCGGGCTTCACCAAGGGCTTGGCTGCTGGAGGAGCAGGAACAGGGGTAGGGGTCCTGGCCGGAGCGGGCTGACAGCCGGACACTGGGCTCTCGCCCTGGGCCTCTGGCGGGGCAGGCGGTAGATGCACCGTGGCCGTCCCTGCACCAGCCTCTACCTGCCCAGCGGCCAGGACCTCGTCGCCCTCAGACGCCTCAGAGGATTCGGACTCCTCCTCTTCCAACTGCCGGCGGCGGCGCTTCCGGTGGGCCCCGCTGAGGCTGCTGATCTTTTCCGCACCCTGGGGGGCTGCCTCGTTGGGCTCCCTGAGGGGAGAGGAGTGCGTCAGGCACTGAGGTCCTGGTGGGGGCCGGCCGACATCTGAGGCAACCCTGGTGGCCATACGCCACCATGACCTGATGGCAGAGGTCAGGACTCAAATGCTAAGGCCCTTCCTGCCCCAGGCCCTTTGCACCTGCTGCTCCCTCTGTCTAAAACACCTCTCTGCACTTCAATCCAGTCTCTGCTCAGGCACCATCTTATCAGAGACTTTCCCAGACCAAGCAGCCCCCATACCTACCACCTCCTCCCTTCCCTTGCCCTAGTTTCTCCTCCCTGCTTCCCAGCCTGGATACCCTCTGGCTGACGACTGCCTACCTCCCCACTCCCGGAATTCAAGCTCCTTAAGGGACGAGCCTGCACTGCTGTATCTCCAGGAGCTCTGATGGTGCAGTAGTTAAGGCGTTCGGCTGCCGACCCAAAGGTCAGTGGTTCAAACCCACCAGTTGCTCTACTGGGAGAACTATGAGGCAGTCTGCTTCTGTAAAGACGTATAGCCTTGGAAACTCGGGGCAGTTCTACTGTCATCCAGGGGCACTATGAGTAAGAATCCACTTGATGACAGTGGGTTTGCTTTTGGCTCTACCTCCACCACCTACACCTGTGCCTGGGACATGGTTTGAATGCGGTGAGAGTCAGAATACTGACTGTTCCATGCACTGCCAGAAGAACACACAGATCTGTCTTGGAAGAAGTATGGCCAGAATGCCGATACAAGCAAGGACGCTGAGACTTTATCTTGCACTTCGACGTGTATACGAGGGAGCAGGCCCTAGAGAAGGACATCACACGTGGGAAAGTGCAGGGTCAGCAGAAAAGAGGAAGACCCCCAACGAGACAGAATGACACCGTGGCTGCAACAACGGGCTCAAATGTGACAGTGATTACGAAGAGAGGGCAGGCCCAGGCGGCGTGTTCATTCTATCATACAAAGAGTTGCTGAGTTGGACCCAACCTAACAGCACCCAAGGATAAGAGTCGTTAAATGAATAGCACTCACGGGGACCAGGCCGTCGATATCATTAACGAACAGAGCGGGCCAAGGGTAGGACAGTGGAGAAGCGTGGGGGCTGAGGGTGAGAGGAGCACACAGGCTTCGGGTAAGGGCTGGGAGCCACCAGCTCCAGGCGCCTGCTGTCCTGTGGGACTGCCAACCTGGGGCGGCAAACCATCCAACTGCCCAAGGCCAGCTGGGGCTCTGCCTTCAAAGTGAAACCTCCCCGGTCTTAAGCCGGCTGTGCCTCCTTAAATACTGGCTTCCCAAGTCCATGTCCGCTGGAACCTCAGAAGGGGACTTTATTTTGAAACAGGGTCTTTGCAGATGTCATTTGCTAAGATGAGGTCATACCAGATTAGGGTGGGCCCTGGGCCCTAAACCCAACAACTAGCGTCCCTGTAAGAAGAGAAGGACCGAGGCAGAGGCTGGAACAATGCGGAATACCGAGGTTTGTCAGCAACTGCCGGACGCTGGGAAAGGCACGTGCTGATCTTTCCCGCAGACTCTCCAGAAGGAACCGGCCCTGCCCACCCCCCACGGCTGCCTCTGGGTCCAGAACTTGAGAAAAACACGCCCCTGTGGTTCAGAGCCACCCTGTTGGCTACACCAGCCTTGGAAAAGCAATCCACCTACTGGTCAACTGTCAAATGCTGACCAAACCAACCACCAAGGGCCAGATCTAGCCCCTGACCACCTGCCTGCAGCGTCTGGCCTCACCGTCTGGTAAGAGTCGGGGCCTGTAAGTGGCCTCGGGATGGCAGGGTAACACCAGAACCTCGGGAGCGAGCAGCTTGGGGCCCTGGGCGCCAAGGGCATGGAGCAGACCCTGCTGGCTTCACCCCCAAGATGCATGCTGCTCCACCAGCTTCAGCCCAAACGGATCTCCCCGTCAACTCATGCTTTTGTGTGGCCATCAAAGAGATGGTGGTTCCCGATGACCCCATGTGACACGGTGGAACAGCCCCACAGGGTTTCCTGGGCTGTATAATCTTTACGGGAGCAGGTCACCGGGTCTTTCCGCCATGGAGCAGCTGCTGAGTTTGAACCTCCAACCTTGTCTAGCAGCTGAGCCTTTCATCATTGTGGTGCCACAGCTCCTTGTCGACCCATAAACCAAAACCAAGCCTGCTGCCGTTGAGTTGGTTCCGACTCATAGCAAGCACAGAGCAGAACTGCCCCGTAGGATTCCCAAGGCTGTAATTGTTTTACAGAAACAGACTGCCTTCCAAGATACAGGAGTATACGTCTCCCATGGGGGGGTTGGTGGGTTTGAACTGCGAACCCTCTAGTTAGCAGTCAAGTGCTTCACCACTGTGCTACCAGAGTTCCTTGTCAATCCATAGAAGACTGAGTCTATGCCCTGTGAGTCTTTGCCCTAGGGGCCCGGGCCAGAGGAAGGGGCTCTAGCAAAATACCGAGGGACTCACTCTTTGCTGCGGTACATGCGTTCTCCCAGGCCCAGCTTAGACGTGGTGAAAAAGAGCTTCATCTCTGCTTCGGAAACCTGGACTTCACTCAATTTCCTGAGCATCTCTGCTCTCTGGGGAGGGAAATGGGCACATGACACATTCCACACCAGGACCTTGTCTGTGGACGGGAGACGAGACTCTAGATAGAGTTTCGGTATCACTAACACCTGAACTCACTGCCATCAAGTTGGATCTGACTCATAGCAACCCCTCCTTGGGTTTCTGAGGCAGTATCACTACGGAAGGAGACTGCCCAACCTTCCTTCTGAAGAGTAGCTGGTGGGTTTGAACTCCAGCCCTCTGGTTAGCAGTCAAGTGCCTTAGGCACTATGCTACCACAGCTCACTAACACCTGAAGTGCTCTTAAATTAATGGTCAGCTTATAATTCCATTGCTGCACCATGTTCCAAATGGATGCAGCCAGGTTGGCACGGCTGTACAACTTAGTGCACGGGACCCACTGAGCAGTCCACCACAAAGGTTCAGATGCTGGATTTTATGTTAAGGGACTGCTACCTCAAGTAAAATAAGTTGAGGAAAAAAGGTTGAAATTCTCTAGAAGAAAGTGAAAAAGTAAATAACATAAATGACCTTAAATATAAAAAGGGTGGGCGGGGATTTAAATCGTCAACCAAATATACGCCCTTAACTCTTCTTCAAAACCAAGCCATGCTTAGGCTTAATCAGTGAAGAACATCCCCCGTGAGCACTGCGCTTTTCAAGACCTGCCTCTATGGGATCAAATGGAGAAAAACAACTCAGAAGATGAGACAGGAACCTCGGGGGCAGTGAGGACAATTCCAAAGAGGAGGGTGAGAACCGCTGCCCAACTCGGAGAATGTAATGACCACCACTGAACTGTACACAAATGGGTGCACGCTCTGCCGTGTATATTATCAACAGAAACAACAGCAAAGAAGTGCGTGCATTGACCAGCAGACGCCCCAGCTAACCAACCTTAGGGCCTCAGCACATCTGCCCACATACGACACTGACCGAGACCCAAGTGGCTTCCTCCCAGGAGGGGCGAGAAGGCTTTGGGGCTGTGTGTCCGATACGGTGACCACTAGCCCCGTGTGCACTGGAATTTAAATTAACTAAAAATTTTAAAATCCCATACCTCGGTCACACTGGCCACAAGTGGCTACCTACTGGACAGCATGGACGTAGAACATTTCCCTTATTCTAGAATGTTCTGTGGGACACCCTGCCTTCTATGCCGCGTGACGGGGAGGCAGACCCCTCACCCCTCCCCACTCTGCAGAGCCACGTGCCGACCCTCGGAGAGCAGGGCCTACCTGGCTCTTCTTTTCCTTCTGTTCCAAGATTTTCTGCAGCATTTTCTTCTCTTTCTTAGTCAGCGGCTTCTTCTCCTTCCTCGATGGGGGAGGGGCTTTGGTCTTCTTCTTCCTCCCCAAGAGAACCAGGGCGTTGCTCCCGTCGACACCCTTCAACGTCCCCTTGTCTGAACAGATACACCCGTCTCACCCACGGCCCCAGAAGCCAGACACGTGATACTCCATGTACATCGTCACCCCCAGCTGCCCTCCAGCCCCACCTGTGAGCCTCCCGTCCACACAGAACCAACAGGTGCGGGCCTGGGCCAGGAGGACACCTCGCATGTCTGGTTCACAGTAAGAGCACCACAATCAGCACAAATGCCACAGAAGGGGCGGGCATCAGGGCAGGAAAAGCCCGAGCCAGCCTCTGACCCGAGCCTGGCGGCTGGTGCCCCGTGTCAGGGCAGAACAGTGCGGCACAGCGTTTTCAGGGTTGGTTTGACAGAAGCAGGTCACCACCTTTTTTTTTATTTTATTTTGATTTGGGTGAAGATTTACAGAGTAAATTCACTTTTCATACAGCAGTTCACATATACTTTGTCTCATGTCATTGACCAAAATTTACAATGCAACAGCTCCCCTCCCACTTTCTCCCCATAGTTACCTCCTTCCCAGTGTCCATCCCTCCATACTCTTCTGCACCCTGAGCTGTCTCCCTGTGCATAAGCAGCCCTTCCTTCTCCCATGATTGTTCTCTCCAGGGTGTTTTTTTCTTTGGGTTAATTTTTAACTCACTTGCCTGTTCTTTGTTTGGCTGGAAACCACAGGTGTGGGTTCAATCCCAGACCTGAAGGGCAGCTAGGGGCCATAGTCTCAGTGGTTTCACCAGGCTCTATTGGACCAGCAAACCTGGTCCCCACCTTCTTCTTCTTTTTTTTTTTTTGCCTCCAAATGATTTTGAGTTTTGTTCCACATTGTCCTCCCTCTCTATGCAGGATCTCGTACATCCCTTCCAAGTGGATGACAGTGGTAGCTGGGCACCATCTAGTTCTTCTGGTCTCATAGTTGTATAGGTTGCAGATCAGATGGTGTACCAGTCGCTACGACTGATTGTTTCCATTCATTTGGTTTTCTTCTTTCTTCTTGACGAGGAGACACCCATTGTTGCATCTAGATGGCAGCTTGCTAGCTTTTAAGATCCCAGTCGCTACTCGCCAAAGTAGGAGGTGGAACAATGTTTTGTATAGTATGTTATGCCAATTGAGCTTGATGTCCCCTGCGACTATGGTCCCAAGCCCGCAGGATCAACTACTCGGTCCCTCTGGGTAGCTGACTGTGACCAAGCAATGACCATAACCTTGCCCCTTGTCAGCTCTACTATACACCTGGGAATTCTGATCACTCACATAAACTTTAAGACCATTGTCTGCCAACCCTATATATGATCTTGGATACACTCCCCATTTAGACATATCTAATTGTTTAGCCTGTCCACCTATCTATCCGTCCATATACCCCTGTTTACCTTCACTGACAACTCAGTACTGTATATGCAAAAGGGTTCATATTGGTTGCCTGTACTTCCCATGTACCTCTCTATGTCTTTCTCATCCTCAATGGTGCCATATTGGTCACTCCCATTTGGTACATTGCCCTTCTCTTCACCCAAATCAATATTTATCACTATCTATCTAACAGCGTTCCCTCCCCTCCCCTCCCACCCTTGGTAACCAACAAAGAAAATTTCCTCCAATAGATAAACCTTTCCTTAAGTTTTACAATAACGGACTTATACAATATTTGTCCTTTTGTGACTGACTTATTTCACTCAGCATAATGTCCTCCAAGTTCATCCACGTTATGTGGTGTTTTGCAGATTCTACATTATTCTTTAGCGTTGCATAGTATTCCATAAGGTGTGTCTCTTGTAGGCAGCATATTGATGGGTTTTGTTTTCTTATCCAATCTGCAACTCTCCGTCTCTTGATTGGCACCACCTTTCTTTGAGGTCCCTCTGGTTGGACTCAAACTGCCAACCTTTGGGTTAGTAGCCAAGCACTTAACCACTGCACCACCCAGGGCCTCCATGAGGATGGGCATGAAGATCAAACACCACCCAGGGCCTCCATGAGCAGGCCAGCAGGAGCCTGTGGGGCCTGGAGGAAGGATTTGATCCTAAACATGCACGACTCATCCGGAGGTTTCAGCAGGAAGGCAATCTGACTTCCGGTGCTGGAAGGTCCGGGAGGAGAGCTGTTCCACTGCGGGGCATTGCAGTCAATGTCATGGAACAAAATGCACATGAACTGCTGTATGGAAGATGAACTCGCTCTGTAAACTTTCACCCAAATCACAATACAATTTTTTTTTTTTTTTTTTAAAAAAAAAGGTCCCTCCAGCCTTTGGGAAAGGCAGGGATAAACCCAGCCGTCTCGCTCAGATTTCAGAAACAATTCCCTCCAGACCTCGGCGACAGAGGCCTCAGCCCCTCTGCTCTGATCACCCCCTAAAATCATCCGCTCGGGTGTCTCCCGTCCTCCCAGAGGACCCTCTCCCCCTGTGTGAGCTGTCACTGCTGCTACAATGTCTGCCACAGGAACCATACCTCCATCTCCTCCCTTCACTTTGCAAAGCATCCTCACTTGAGTCAGGAACATGTTTTGCAAAATGCTGGGAGCAAAGTGCCTCAGGCACTTGACTGCTAACCACAAGGCTGGCGGTTCAAACCCACCAGCCACTCCTCAGAAGGAAGATGGGCCAATCTACTTCCACAGTGATACTGCCTCAGAAACCCAAGGAGGGGTTGCTATGAGTCGGGTCTGACTCGACGGCACACAGCAACACAACAACAACAAACGCTGACAACAGGTCAGACAGCTATTGCTGTTGGTCCATTTTCCAGATGAAGAAATGGAGGCCGGAGGCACAATCTGCTTCAGTGCCCAGGTGATCCACACCACTTCTGAGGACGGACTTTAGACCTCCGGGTTCCCACCCTGATGTCTCTCTCGTACCCTCACTGCCACCCAGGTTGAACCAGTGTGTGCGAGAGAATGCACATCGGTGGGCAGAGGGCAGGAGCTTCTCCAGAGGCCCTGGCTCCCCTTCCTTCCCCCAGCTCCAGAATCGGGGGCCCATTCTTTCCTACTGCCTCACCTGCCAGGAGAGAGCCCTGGTGGTGCAGCAGTTCAAGCGCTTGGCTGCTAACTGAATGGTCAGTGGGCCAAACCCATCAGTTGCTCCATGGGAGAAAGATGTGGTGGTTTGCTTCCATAGAGATTACAGTCTTGGAAATCCCATGGGGGCAGTTCTGCTCTGTCCTATAGGGTTGTTGTAGGAATTCACTGAATGGCAGCAGATTAAGCTGCGAGGCCCTTCAGGAGTTTACACTCCATTTGCTAGGTGAGTTCAACGTGGTACATGGACAGTTTCGGGAGCCTGAGAGACGTCTTTGTCCTTGAACCCTGACAACCTCGCTTTGCCTATACTCTCCTCCCAAACTGCTCCCATCGGGGTCACCAAAGACCTCCTAACCCAGTGTTAAATCTCACACCCTTTCATCCCTGACCCGACACCAGCATCTGACTCAGTCTCTTCCCTGGTCCCCGGGGCCACCACCCTCTCCCGTTCTTCCCGGTCACTCCATTTCTGCTGCAGGCTCCTCAGCTCTCTCCTCCAGCCCTGAGGTCCGTGGATCTCTTCTCTGCTTGGTCCACACTCACGCCCTGACTTTTAATGACACATGTGATGAGGCTGACTCCCAAGCCACTACCTCCACCTGCACTCAGCTTTCCTCAGGACTCGAGTCAGCAGAAGCCTGCCTGGGTATCTACAAGGCACCGCAGCCACTCACACCCAAAGCTGAGCCTGGGTATTCTCCAAGCTGCAACCCTCTCCCCGCCTCCAGCCTTCTCCAGAGACTAAGTCCAACTCCTGGGAATCATTCCTTCTCTGTTCTTAGACACCGGGCTAGTCAGTCAGAAAATCCTGTCCACACCATCCTCAGAACATACCCTGAGCACAACCACTTCTCACCTCCTCACCACTGCCTCGCGGGGCCCAGCACCATCAACTCCTGTAGGAATTCATGTAACAAACAGCCTCCTAGCTGATCATCTGGTTCTGCCTGTGTCTCTACTGGGTTTCCTCAATGCAGCAGCCCAGTGACGCTGTTACAACCTACGTCCTTCAAGGGACAAGGCTGTGGTCACTTTGGCCACAGCCAGCTACCCAGAGGGTGCAAGTGTATGTGAGCTGTTGTATGGAAGATGAACTTGGTCTGTAAACTTGCACCCAAATCACAATGAAATTTAAAAGAAAAAAAAAACACCGACATCCTTGTTGCGTCCCTTCTCTGCTGTAGACCCTTCCCCACCTCCCAGCTCCCTCAGAGCAACAGCCAAAGTCTTCCTGACACTACAGGGTCTGGCTCAGTTTCTTCTGCTTCCTCTAGGCTTGACTCCAGTAACTTTCTCAGAGGCCTTCCCCACGGCCCTAGGGAACACTGCAACCCAGCCGCACCCACCTCTTCTGCTTACATTCTTCCTACCAATAGCCAGGTAACATTATGTGTATTCCAGGGTACAGCTTGGCCTGTCTCCTCCCAGAAGCGTGTAAATTCAGGAGCGCAGGATGTTTTAAAAACCTGTTTTCTGCTCGGTGTCCAAGCGTTTGTACTAGAAAGGGGGCGTCCGAGCAGAAATACGGAAATCCTGCAGGTGACCTGACATCTGGTCTGAAAACACAGTAGGGTCGCTGGCACGGAGATTAAGATCGAAGCCATCAGAATGGATGAAATTACCTCGTTGTCTTGCCCAAAGCTCTC